CTCCAACGCGAAAGACTGGGAACCTCCATGAGAAACCCCCCTTTCCAGGCTAAAGTCTCGAACCCAATTCGGAACTTCAAAGTCGCCGTCTCTTCCGGGATTCCGGTTGAGGATTTAGGGCTGCAGGGCCCCAGGTTCCCAAGGTTTAGTGCCCAGGGGGGCTTCAGGGTTTAGGGTGTAGGAACCTTCAAGGGTTTGGGCTTGGGGTTTCGGGTGTAGGAACTTAGGGTGTGTGTGCTTTAGGCTGCGTGAGATCTCAGCTCGAGCTCTACTTGCCTGCTGCGAATGAATTTGGGTGTGTCGCTCACCCAGCGTCTATCTCGATGATGAGGTCGACCCAGACTCCAAGCCAGCCGCAAACCCCTAGACCCGCAACCTACAACCCCTTGCGAATCCTCTATGTCGAAGGGTTGTTAAGCTCCAACGCGGTGGTTTCAAGGCCCCAGTAGGTTCTGCACCGCTATAACTCTAAGTTGCCATAACCTTAAAGCCCCAAATCGCTCATAAATCCTGGACCAAAACCTGCGAACGTCAAAATCGTATATAAACCCTAATCAAAAACCGCAAAGCCCTTGTAAACCTGCAGGAACCCCAAAGACCTCACAGTTGGGGAAGTTTCGAGGACCCGAGCGGTGAGGCACACAACTTGCATGGACTGGCGTGGCAACTCGAACCCAAACAGCCCAAGATCCCTTCCTAAAGGAATGCATATATCAAAAACATGGTCGTTTCATGCCCTGTAAAAGTCAAGCGCCACTGCTTACTTCAGGTGTAATTCTCGGGCTCCCTGAGACCCTAGACTCCCTTTGTTGCCCGGGAGCTCCCTTTGCTAAACCTCAAAGCCACGCCGGGCACCGGGCTGCCATGGGACGACCATCGCAGGCCTCTGGCGCGTCACAAAGATCTTGACAACAGCCGCACCCACCTGAGAGGCTCCAGTTGGGGCTGACCCGAAACCGTGTGGAGGAGGCCTTCCCCGGTTCGGGGCTCTGGGGTTTAGGATCCATGATCTGGAATCTTGAGGTCAAATGCTAAATGTTGAACTTTAATCTTGGAAAGCATTCCAGAACCCTGCATAGGTCGGGTGTTCAAGCGAAAACGAGCATCAAGTGGCTTGTAAAAACCATCGGAGGATCAGATTATGAGGGTGGAGAAGAGGTATGCAGTAGCCTTATCTTCAGGTGCAGGCTTTTCGGTGTAGGTTTACCTTTCGGGTTCTAGGGTTTATGGACCTGAAACCTCGGAAATGATGCTTCTTTGGTAGAGGGTAATCTTGCAAGCAGGCGCTTCCCGAGGCTGAAGCATTTGGTCAGCATCCCCCCTAAAACCTCTGGACCCGAATTTTAAACACCCCAACACAAACGAACCCCAAACCCTACAGTATCCTGATGTAGCCTTAAAGTAACCGAAAAGATCATGGAAAAAGAACCCTTATAGATCCCTTTACAGGAGTCTCCCTAAAGCACGGCCTTGTGGCTGTCCATTACATCTGCTTCGACATCAGGCACCAGCTCCTGCAGAGCTTTGCCCACTACAGGTGCCTGACTAATTCGAAGGAGGTTCTTGTATGGCTTTAAACGGACCATGGTCTGATCCATGAGGACTTCTGCTTGGCCGTCTATGTATTTTTATTGCTGGGAGGTTGCAAACTCAATGACCCTACAAACAAAACCCTACCCCCTAGCCCCTAAACCCTACAAACTTCTAACCATCGCTGTACCCGAAAAGACCTGTAGAATTCTAGAGCTGAGACTTCGGCCGAAGTTTGTTCCTCAAGGTTCCCTGTTATACTATAGCTACACTATATAACATATTACAACATACCCCAGACCCTATTCGTGATAGTGTAAATCAACCATATAAAGGTGAACAGTTGTGGAAGCATGACACAACACACGGAAAGGGTAAATTTGAGAATTGCAAACACGTGAACACAGTACGCGTATGCATGTTTTATGCAAATGTACCGAAACTTCATGTATATATAGTTTTATATATACACATGTATATATATATATGTGTCACATACATTTATATATACATACACATCTTCGACTATGACTATACGTGTAGACCAGACCTCTGCAAGACACCCTAATCCAGGCTTTCCATCAAATCACGTTTCATGCTCGGGAAGGAAATTTTCAGCCCGGGGTTCCGGGTGTTTCCTCTCGACCTGCTTCGGTTTAGGGTTTAGGGTTTTTCAAAACGTGGCTCCGAAGGTTCCAACTGCATTCTCTCTTCAAGCGGTTCCTTCAGGCGCACATTTGAGGGTTCTGCAGAAGGGTGTGATAACAAGTTGTAGGTTGTCCCATACGAGCTCTACTCGCGTCTTCAATGCATGCCCGACTACGTGCCAACCTCTGTCAGCCGCTTGCAAACCATGACAGGGTCGGAAGGCCGTCCAGTGACTAAATTCGTTTCCCTTTCAAGAGAAAGCGCATGCAGCGGCTGCACACAGATCATAGCCTGGAACCTGGAGGCTTTTGGGATGGGCATGATGGGCTCTGGGGTCTCTTGAACCCCCGTCCTTGAATTCAGTATCCTCCGCAGGCACCTCAGCTTCCTCTGCAGGCACAGACACCTGGAGGCCGTCGTGAAATCTTGGTGAGCCCGGAACTGTCCGAGTAGCTAGGGTTTAGGGGTTTAGGGTTTTTTTGTTTATCACCTCTTTTCCTTTCCGCTTCAGGTCGGGAATACCATGTTGGTTGAGGTTTAGGGGTTTAGGGGTTAGGACTTGTAGGGGTTTAGGGTTTAGGCCTGACGGATGGATTCTCGGCTTCTGAGGTTTCCGGATCACAAGCAGGATACAGGAAGTTCGGGGGGGGGGTATCGTATTCAGAGCCCGTAAAGGCATAGTTGAAGAGTTCTTCAGGTTTTCGAATCCCACAGAGTTCAGGCCGGAGCTCGAAATGCTGCTTTTGATTTCCTGGTAGGGCCGCAGCCCATACCCTCTAGGGGCTTGACTATTTGGCACAGGGTTTGGGGGTTCAGTATAGTAAAAAGTATATAGTAAGGAACCTTGTGGAATGGCGTAATGTTGGTAGTTATTTAATTTATTACAGGGAGGCTAGTTTAATCCGCTCTCCCACGCGAGAGTTCTGCACAACGTTGTCAGTCTTCTGGGCGCCATGGCTTTTAGGCTTGGAGGCCGTTTAGGGGCCAGGGTCCGCCACATTGTTGCGTTGCCGGCGCCCAAACAAACCGTAAAGTGGCACAAGAGATAAGCCAGTTAAGCTTTGCAGGAAGCCATCTGCATGTCAAGGAATGGCTGGCTTTGGGTGGTTTCCAGTGCCACTTGCTGCTAAAACTACTGTCGTTGGCTCTCGGCACGGTAGGTACTTGAAGTCTAGCAAAACCCCAGGCCCTAAACAGGAGTTGTCGCATTACTCCAGACCGGATGAGGCTGGGCTCATGCAAGGCCTGGCTGTTCAGCTGCGGTGGGAGCGTCTCCACCTGCTGTGTGTCTGTTTCACATACCATGCTGCATTCCGACAATCCAAGACTTCTGTCTATCTACCTAAATATATGTGCGTATATATATATATACATATGTGTGTGTATATCTATATCTATATATATATATAATATATATATATATACATACCCGTATCTACCTACAAGACAACAGACAACGCCACGAAACCAAACAGAGAGGACCGGCGGCTATCACAGCACACCCAGACTGTGGCAGGAGATTTCCCTGGGAATCCTCAAATATTCTTCAGTTTTCCACATGCAATTTCTGTCTCTTTCGGTGCCGTTCTCGACGGTGCTGGCCAGAAGGCTCGGAAGTCTAACCCTTCCCCCGCTTAATGTTCATCGAACGGGAGGGGGGGGGCCCCGGTAGAAACGAGTTAAGCACGGTTTTCAGTGTAAGGGGTGTTTTCTCTCCACGTGTGGGGTATCTTGCTCTTGCTCTGGCTCTTGCTCCTCTTGCGGTTGCTCTTGCTCCTGAACCCCCAATCCAGGCGGGATGAGAATCAGCAGGGGTTATCCGAATCGGCTTTTCATTGGTAGAGATTATTAACGCTTTGGCCGCGTGCATTTGCGAGCTTCGTAAGAGTAGCATGGGAAAGTAGTACCAGTCCATGGCTCAGGCTTATGAGGATGGGCTGTGAGGGTTTCAGATTCAGCAGTGTAGAGCTTAGGATCTAGGAGTTCAGGCTTTAGCGGTTTAGAGTTCAGGTGGGTAGGGCCATGAGCACAGGTCTGATGCTTTGGATGTGCAGCCATGGGCCTGAACCCCCATCTCGTCGTCACTGGCCTGGGCGCGACAGAGCTACAGAGACCCGCTGACACCAGATCCTGTGATCCGGTCACCAGTGATAGCCAAGCACAACCGACAGAGCCGAAAAAACATATCACTGTAGCAAGCGACGAGATTAGAGACAAGAGGGCCTTCCGAATATGGCCGTGTCTAGCATTTGGGGTTGTGCGACTGACGACTCTTCTTGAATGCTTTTTCATGTGCAGCCAAACAAAACACTTGTCGATTCTAACCTTGCACGCTTGTCACCGCATGGAACACGGCTGGTGTGAAGCAAAAGCACGATGACATGGAGCGTGTAAGAGTCATGCGGGCATGTGAAACATCTGCCCATTAGCCTCGTGCTTGCCCCGAACGAATGCAAGTATCCACGATTATCCACGCAGTCAGCCTGCGACAGTTGCGGCTAGAAGCTCCGATAAGCATTTCAATGAGTTATTGTCAATAAGGTTGCAGCTGCCGGTCCAAAGAAGCTTGCACGCCCTGTTTCTTTTTCATTCCCGCCGCTGTCAGAAGCTCTCCAGCGGGATCCCGCAACAGAGATGAGGAAGGGCACTGCACCTATAGGAACCGACGGCTTGTGGCTTCTTGCTCTAGCTTGAAGAGCATCGTCTTTAGGATGTGCCAAACGGAGCTTCAAACACATCAACGGGGCTCCTTGCTGCATATCTGAAAACCAGCCGTGACCTTGAAGTCAAGTTTAGGACACAACTTCTACAAGCTCCGGCGCATTCTGCGGAGACGGTTCACAGACGATGCTAGCCGCATGCTCGGCTGCCTGGCTGAGGCGGGGCAACTTGCAAAAGCTTGGACATCAAGCCTAAACCCCAAACCGTAAAGTTCACCGTAAAGTTTATCCCAAAATTTATACCCTGAACCCGCAGCCCAAAAGTTCGGCGTTTGTGCAGACAGAATGGCTGGACTTGGCTCCTTCCTTGCAGTTCGTAATCCCCTCTGCCTTTTGCAGAAAACCTTAAATTCCAGCCGTTCAACGCCAACACCCTAGTGTAAATATTCAGGTTCTTGTGTTGCCTTATAATGCTCTGCAATTGAGAACATGACGAACAGGCCTGTTGCAACTGTTTTGCGACATCACGCCAGGACAGCTGTCGCTTACCCGTCTGCACTCGCGACAGCATGAATGCAAAGGCTGCACCAGATCGGTCACGAACAGGCCTAAACCCTAAACCCTAGACGCCGCGCCTTGACTCTAACAGGCCACTTGAGCCCCGACCTCTTAAGATCCCATGCCTTTGTCATCCACGAAGGACCAAACCACTCCAATCATCCTATCTATACTTGCAACATGAAGGAAACAAGTGCTTTGGGTGTATATAGCTTATGGTTTAGGGCTTTAGGGTTGGCGACTTGTTTTCAGTGTCCCTTAGCGCGATTGGGACTGGGACTCGAAGGTATACATCGACAAGCTACAAAGGAGCTGGGGTCTTTGCAGTTTAGTGTATACAGGCCGAACTTCCCAAAAGTCCCCTATGGGCTCGAGACCCCGAGCCAACAAGAAACTGACACCATGACACCTCCTCGGGGAATGTCTCTTCGCGGAAAGCCTGCTCTGCTTGCGCATCCTGCAGAACGGATCGGATTTGCCCAGTCAACACGCAACAGTCGGACTCGCTTTCATCGAAAAGGTGAGTCATGACGGACTCAGTTTTACCCTTCACAGAGAAGCAGACGTTTACAAGGAAGATCAAAAAGACTCTCTCCTCCTCTCGCTCCCTCTCACTCTCACTTTCACTCTCGCTCTCACTCGTTCTCTCTCTCTCTCTGTGTCTCTCTGTCTCTCTCCCTATATATAGATAAAAATACATACAAACTGCAAACCCGTTTATGGAAGGGGTAGCTGAAGGGTTTATAAAAGGGTGTGTCAAAAGTTTGTAGAAGGGCTTCTTGAACAGTTTATGGGAAGGTTTGTAGAAGGGTTTCTAGCTGTGTTGATGGAAGGCTTTGCAGAAGGGCTTATAGAGGGGCATACAGAGACGGGTCGATAGGGGGGTTCACAGAAAGAGAGATGGGCTGTGTGGATGGATGGCTGGGATGGGTACAGCAAGCAGGTAGATGAATGGATGGATGGATGGGTAGGTGGATGGGGGGATGGGCAGGTGCATGGAAGGATGAGAGGTGTCACGGTACCAGAAAACCCCGCTGCTCCAGACGCGTCGGTACCCGCGTTATTTTTTGCGATCCAACATGGCAATCTTCAAGGACCGATCATGACTCCGCAGGTGATGAGACGCTTTGTCGACATGTCCACCTTAACCTACCAAGACGTATTTTCTTTTGTAGGATCCATTGGGATTCCGATTTAGTTTACAATAAAACCTACAGAAACGTAGATTTTAGCCTATACTATACGTAGTACTTTGATGCTGTTGTAGCTACCTAAATGCAGATATACACACTGTTTCCCGCGTGGAGAAAGATGTATGCTCTTGCCGACCATCGCCTGCGTCTGCCACTGAAAGGAATTGATCTGAAAGCTTTGTGCCAACAGGTCATCACGACCAAGACAATTCTCCAAGGTCTGTGATCATGGGACGAAAGGCAGAAAACGTCCCTCTTGAATGCGAAATGAGGTCTGGCCGTCTGGTCGGTTCTTCGACTCACGGATTCTACCATGTTTGCCTTGCAGATCTACCGCTGTGAACCAAACACGAAGTGAAGCAGACATCGCTCTAACGTGGTTGGCCACTCAAGTACGTTAGATTCTTGGTGCATTCACGCTTTGGTCGGGCAGCAACGGCAAAACCCGCATGATATGAGAGCTCGGAAGGCTTTCAATAAACACATCCTGCATATTCAGCAGGGTCATACAAATCTGAAACGTGCAACCTATAAAGCGGACATCCTGCTTCTCGTGCGGGCTAGTTCGAGAGCGGAATGCGAGAAAGTGGTGCGCAACACTAACCATCCAGCAGGAAAGTATCGGTGTAATTTCGTCCACTTTATCAAAACAGGCAAGCTTGATGCAATGTAAATGTTTCTTATATATCTGAAGCCCTACATCAGGATGGACAGGGCTGTTTCAAAGATTAAACAACCAAGCGCCAGTCTGCACTTCCTGTAGAAGTGCCAACAGCTCTTCCTCACTGTCTTCCAGACCCATCTGGACGACATTTGTGCCGATGGCAAACTTTGGAGTAAGGATCTCGGTCTCTCGTGTGTCGGAGTCCGCACCGAGCTTCCAGGTCAACTGTTGCGCCCGACGCCGGCTGCCATGAGAAGCCGAAGTGCCAAGCTCAGCTTTTACCAACCTGGCAGCTTCCTCGATGATCTCATCGGGAAGAGATCCATAGACCTTTGAAACCTCCTCCCGATCCTGGAGCTGTACGCCATTTCTGAAGATGAGCGGTGCATCCTCGTCCCAGATGGCCCGAAAGCCAAACCGTGCCAGGAAGTAAGCCAGGTTCCGCGCGAGTCCCTGGATGTTTCCAGTATTGACAACGGCATCGAAGACATGGTCCCTGTTCTGCCTCACCACGAGACTGTAGACTTTTTTGGCAGCAGAGTGGTCAAGGAAATTGATGAAAGCAAGCTCGATGTTGCAGTTTGTGCGCTTATCGAAAGGAACATAGAGAAAGTCTATCTGGCTAAGCCTGATCCTGTTCTCTTGCAGCCATTCTAAGATCCTCTGCGCGTCCCAATCTTCCGGCAAACGACGCATCATCAGCGTAGTAGCCCCATCTTCCAACCCACTTCTCTTCAAGGCACGGCGCATGTCCGAAGAAAGCCACGCTGTAGGCTCAACCCCAGCTCTACTCCCTAAATGGTCTTATAAGTATATAACAATTAGGACACCCAACATGTTCATCATTCTCTAAGGGTTCTACAAGAGGAATTTCAGGTCCATGGGTTTCGGGCCGGGTCCTGCAGATCAGCTCAACGGTCAGGACCGATTTGAGCCACGATCCTACGGGCATGGACTGTTACCCTAGACTATCAGCCCTGTATCGAAGTTGAAGGTAGGGTTTAGGGTTCCCTAGGAAGGTTCTACTTGCCATTTCGAAGACTGTCGGTAGTGTTGAGGGTCAAGTGGCGAAGCCAACGCCCAATGTGTCCTCATCCAAGTCCGCAATGGCTTGCACCAGGATTTTGAGCTTCCTCGAAACGAGGTCACCCAGATTGTGAGCTTCCTCGCCCCAAATGCCATAATATCAGTCACAAGTCATAAGCCTGAAAGTTCTGTCTGTGCTGGTTTTGCCGTTTTATCTATTTACGTTTCTGTCTACTTGTCGATCGATCTATCTATCTATCTATCCATACATGTATCTATTTGTCCATCTGTTTGTCTATCCTGTCTATCTATCAGCCTATCTATCGATATGTTTGTCTATCTGTTTGTCTATCTATCTAACAAGATGCTGGCACTTAACTGCTTGATTCATGTGCTTGTTTGTCTATGTGCTTATGCTTGTGTCGACGTACACAGTTGTGCGTCTGTGTGTATGCACGTAAGCATGTATGTATGTATGTATGTATGTATGTATGTATGTAGGTATGTATGTATGTATGTAGGTATGTACGTATGTACGTATGCATGTATGTATGGATGGATGGGTGGATGCATGGGCGTATGTATGTATGTACGTATGTGTGATGTAGGTATGTATGAAATGTAACGTACTGTACTGTAATGTAATGTAATGTAATGTAATGTAAGGTAATGTATGTACGCACGTACGTCTGTACGTATGTACATATGTATGAATGTATCGATGCATGTATGCATGTATGTAGGAATGTATGTATGGATGGATGGATGGATGGATGGATGCATGGATGTATGCATGTATGTATGTATGTGTGTATGTTTTTGTGTATGTTATGTATGTATGCATGGATGGATGGATGGATGGATGGATGATGGATGCATGTATGTATGCATGCATGCGTGTATGTATGTATGTGTGTATGTATGTATGTATGTATGTATGTATGTATGTATGTATGTAATCGCCCTACATATGTAAGCCACATGCATGATCATTCATGCATGGATAGATGTGTTTCTGCTTGCGGTGTGCTACAGCTATAATATCTACGCATATATACATGTGCACGCATATAAATTAATTTACATGTACTGTACATGTACAAATAAACATGTAGAGATAGAGAGAGATAGATTCGTTTCACAATGTTGGCCTGCCCAAGGCCAAGGAAAACCGCCTAACGAGAATGAATGAATCATAAACGCAAACACAACATCTTTGTAAGTATACACGTAGGCACCAAAATATAAACCAAAAGTGTAAGGACAAATACACATATATCTATACATGGACATATACAAATATCATACATGTACAGCATGTACACGTAATATTACGGCAGACGTACACAACACAAAGCTATGCACTCGTACTTGCCCGTGCACTTGCTTGCACGTTTAAAAGTGTCTATGTCGACCATGTATGTACGCAGGCATGAATGCAAGAAAGTAACCGGAAAATGCATGCGGCCCTGGCACATGTGTGCTCCGAACCACCACCATCCACCACCAACAGCAGCAGCAACCCAACATGTTGATGTCTCATCTTCCGGCAACAGCTTGAAGGGCCTAGCATCTACGATGTGCTACGTTTCGTTGTGATACACTTCATGCTGTCAGACAACCCCCAACCTGACAGAGGCACTACCGAATCCGATCCTGAACAGCAAATGTCTAACCTGCCAAGATACTCGTCCCGAAATTCGGCCAGCCGGCCAAATCTTTCGCCTTGGCAATTAGTCGAATAAATACTTTCAATTTTCCCAAGTCCGGACATTTCTATTAGTGTTGAGGTGTTCCGGGATGAAGGTTACAAGGCTTGGAGTCTAACTGTATGTCTGTGCCGGACTCACTCTCATACACCCTCGAAACAACGAGGCTCCCCACCGTGGGCACGCATCTGCGAAAGGTCGGCAGTGACACGCTCAATCTCCGCCTGATTTCCATGCCCGCGATGCAGAGACTCTCGAAAGTCCTTTCTAGCTACAATAAGATGCGACACGCAGGCTTGACAACATGCTAGCACCAGTTGCCAAAACTTACACGTCTTAGGCCAAACAAATGATGTCTACCACCAATACTGAACAGCCGTCCACGGCGCCGGGCATGGTCCGTCAATGTGCACCCAATGCCAACCCCTCATATTGATTCCAAACAACAAGGCCCTAAACCATAAAACCTGCGACCCTGACAAAGCCACTGACTGTAAGACTAGTGCTGGAAACCCTTGTTCAGAAAATCGTTGAATTCGTTGCAAATCCCTGATTACTCCCTTCAAGCCATGATTATTGCCACAAACCGTAAAGCTCCTAAACCCTTAACCCAACACCCCCGAGAGGAGCCTTTGACTCATGCTGCGGCCGTTTGGAGTTCACAGCTGTCGCAAGCTCTTCGTAACCTGCTCTGGCAGATAGGGTTCATGGCACATGGATTTTTTCCCTCTCGCATGGCAAAGGATCAAAGCCCACAAGCGAGGTNNNGGGGGGGGGGGGGGGGGGGTTCTGAGGGTTTTGGGTTCGAGTTTGGGTCAGGGTGTATGCTCTCGCGACCGGGCAAGCCCAGCGAAGTCTCTCTGTGCGCAGGAAACCAAGGAAATAAGCTAACGTTTGCAGAGTAATCACTACAAAGGGTGAGAATTTGAAAAGGGGGCCGAAAATCCCAAACAGAAAACATGGACTCCTAGCAAAAGCCTAACAGAAGAGAAAACGCAGAGAGCGCTGGACCCGAAGCACCAGCTCGCAGTGCAGCTCCAGACACCTATTACTCCTATTACTACGAAGTACGAAACACTTCCGGGGGAGCAGGGGGTATTATAATGCGACCCAAACATTATGGTGCAAACGACGCTCCGCGCAATGCCAGCATAGATCAGTGAGCATTGCCGCCGCATAAAAGCCGTGCTATCTGTTCTATCTATCTACCTACCTACCTAACTATCTAACTATCTATCTATCTATATCTATCTCTATCTTTCTATCTCTCTATCTCTCTATCTATATATCTATCTACCTACCTACCTACCTACCTATCTATCTATCTATCTATCTATCTACCTGTATACACATGTACACATTTACACTTGTACAGGCGTACGTACGGACATGCATGCATATAATATATACACATACATACATACATACATACATACATACATACATACATACATACATACATACATATGCACGTACGTACAGACAAACACATTTGCTTACATACATACTCTTATGTTCATACATATATACATATACATCTATATATA